CCCCAAAACCCCAAAACCCCAAAACCCCAAAACCCCAAAACCCCTTTTACTATCAATAAAGTTGATAGCTAGAATAAAAGTTTTGTTACGGATTATAAATAATTAGGCTAGGATAGGATGGATAAATATGAGTAGGACTATTATTCAAGTAATTTTAGACTAAATTCAGAAACTTAAGGAGAATTAGTAATCTTGTTCCAAATCCCAAGGCTTTAGAAGTACTTTTCCTTTGCTCATATTCTCTTCATAATACTGTACTGCTTCATTGATATCCTTTAGGTGATACTGCCTACTAATCTTGGATGATAGGTTATCCTTTATTAACCTCTTAACTTTCTTAACGATTCCAAGCAGTTTAAAAATATTTTTAGAAGCAATCCAAACATCAAGTTTGAAGCATTTAAGGGTGATCTCGCTTGCCATAAAACTGAAACAGTCAATATCTGAAACTGCTTCTCTGGAGAGATTTCCATAAAGTAGCACATTTCACCCTTTTGGCAAGTTGGACATGAGCTTCCCACATATAGAGCCTCCGATGCACTCGAGCATGTACTTGACTCTAGCCTCTTTGCAAGTTTTCTTGAACTCAGGCAAGAACTCATCATCAGAAGTGTTGAAAATATGCTCCAGTCCAAAGGTGTCTCTCAGATCTTTTTCCTGAGACTCACTTCTGACTGTAGCGATGACAGTGATTCTTTTTCGAACAAACAGCCTGATCATCATCTTGCCAAGCTGAGAAGCTGCAGCTGTTATGACTACAGCTCTAGAACGAGCTTTCGATACTATTTCGACCATCCCAATGGCAGTCATCGGGTTCACAAAAAAGCTACTGCCTTGTTCGAAGCTTACACTGTCTGGGAGGGGAACACATTGTCTAGCATCAGTGACACAGTATTGTCCGTACGCACCACCTATTTTGATGAGGCTTCCTTCTTCCTGGTCTTCTTGTCACTTAGAAAATGCAACTCTTTTGCCTCTGAGATACCAGCCCATGAAACCTCCTCCACTTTCGATAACTGTACCACTGCCTTCCCAACCAGGAACAAAGGGGTATTGGAAGTCAACGAATTCTGCATATTTTCCTTCAATTCAATGGAGGTCACTAGGATTGATTGGTGCTGCCTCAACTTTTATGAGTACCTGGCCTTTCCTAGGTATCGGCTTCGGGACAAGCCCATAGTTCAGAGAAAGATGTGAGTCAAGGTAAGCAGCGTGCATCTGGTCAGGCTCCATTATTTCAATATTTGGAATACTATTGGGGTTTTGGGGTTTTGGGGTTTTGGGGG